GGGAGCACATCTGTGTGGCGCCTCCACGTCTATCACAGGCCCGGGAGGGAACGCCAATCATGGGTCTATAATGGGTTCGGCAGAGTGCCACGGTGAGTCAACGTGTTTCTGCGCGTGTTCAATGACTCTCAGTATGACAATTGCTGTATGCAGCATGCGTAGCCCACAGACAATTGTCAATTGTTGTGCAGCTGAGCGACCGACAGCGCGCAGATACGCGCGCGGGCGACGGGACGCAGGTCGGGCGACGAGGGACGCATCTGCGGAGGGATCTGGCGTTGTTTGCCGGCGGGACGAGGGAAGACGCGTGACATCGGGGCGTGACAACGCGTGTGTATCCGATCGGGAAGGCCCAGTATGGACGCGCCGCTTTCTCCAATTCCGCCAAAATTACATTTTTCGCTTCGCAACCACCTCCAGCGCGCCGTCGTATAACTCGCGTCCGCAAAGCAACCGCTCCCCCGCTCTGTTCTCCCCCGCCTACATATCAATCACAGCCAGCTGCTCGATTGACCGCCACAGCAACTCGTCTCACCTGTATCCAGTTCTCTGCTCCCATCTCAATCACATCTGACGGCAGGTGTTCCGTTCACACACCAATTTGCGGTCTGTTCCTGTGTGAGGCAGATCTGCACCGCTCGACCGGCGCGCGGCTATCTCGGCCCCTCTTTAGGTTCGCTGCCTCCGTTTGCCCGCCGCCTCTCCTTCCCCATTGTCCCCTCTCCCGGACTCCAGCCCGCCCCGGTCAATGTCAATTATCTCCCTCTAATCTGGTCGCTATATAAACCCAACGATCCCTCTATCTGTATCCCTAGCCCCCACAACCTCGCAGCCTGTAGAACACGTCTGTCGTCGCCGCAGTCACATCCCAGCCATGGCCGCCCCCATCGCTTCGCCCCAGCCGCGTCCCGCGCTCAGCCCACGCCTGCTCTCGTCGCGTCGACCTGCAACCCCACCCTCTCATCCGCTAGATGGCCAAGTAAGTCCTCTTGTCGCATCGCGTGCATTTGGACACATGTCTCACCTTGCACTTATCAGCGCGTCCTTCCTCAAAGACGGCTCTTCAGCCCTCCACGACTCGCGACCCCTATCGATCTCTTCGATCCCCGTGCCAACAGGTCTCAGGTGTGATTCATCGCTCCTGGACGCGTTTTGTCCTCTAACTCGGTCGCAGGCTACCAGGTCCGCGACGCTGTGCAGCCCGATCAACAAGAGACGACGGAACGTCGCCTTCAACGTCGTCCGCTCTCCTCGACGCCGCCATTGCCTGCGAACCGAATGCCCCACGTCCCCTCTTCCCGGTCCAGCCTTCTTCGATAGCATTCCTTGGATCTCTCAACTTGAGCAGATGCCCGACGATTTGCTACCCATGGACATCGCAGACCTCTCGGTACCCGGGGATGACTGTATGCGCGTCGAGACGCCCTGTAGCGGTCCTGTGCGTACACGCAAGACATCGCTTCGGTCGAACCCCCTCGCACACTCCCCCAATCGGGTACCCGACTACTCGCCTCCTGACCTACACGAGCTGCCCGTCTACGCGTTGCTTCCACATGATCGCGCTCCATCGACGCCTCGAACTCCCATCAGAGAGCCCTTCATACCGTCCGAGGTCCAGTTCTGCGGCCTTCGGCCCGTTCTTAGTGGCCTCGGGGACGACTGCTCACATGCACCTTCCTCGCGGATGTCCGGACGATTCGATTGATCTCGCGACAGCTTCTTACATTGCTGCCAGTTTCATCCACTCATGCACGCCACAATGATCTTATTCCGGCCTCTCTTATACGCCGCCATCGCCACGAGTCTCGCCATCTACTACAACCGCTCGTCGACGAGATGATTTACGACCAATCGCCTCGCAACCTCGCAAACTCGAGCCCGCCGACATACGCATACACGCCGTTGATCTAATCCCTTTGGCTCTCTTGTTCGCCTCTAGCCATGGCCCGCCTATTCCACCTGTCTGTGCTGCCTCGTCAGGAGCTGCAGCACTTGATTTATTCCTTTTTGCCTTCGTCTTCGCCTACCAAGAATCTGCAGTTGATATCATTTGTTGGATTGAATCCGACACCGGTCTTGCGGTATCTTCGCTCGATTCTTGAATCCCTCCCCATTATCTTCGTCTTTTGCCTCACGCTCCGTGATCTCGGTGTAGTATCACCACTTGTCCTGTTCATGCTGTCCCATAGGTACCGTTATTATCCTGCTACAGTCTCCCCGTTCTCGCTAGCCCACCGCTCACGCTGCTTCGTGTTCATCGATGTACAGATACTGTTTACTACGCTTACTGATTTGCTCATCTGCCCGCGATGCTTCACAATGGACGCTGTCGAAATACGTACTCTCTACGCCTAGCTCTCTGCCTTATAGTTACTGTTCCCGGTGAGATCCGGATGTACTTGTACGAACCCCTGTATGCATATCACGAACCATGCTGTGCACCATATGTCGCGTTGAATGTCAGCGCTGTTGCTCTCCCAACCGCTGAAACCCGACATTTGACGGCTGCCGCATCGTTGCAGAGTTGCATATCACCAGTCTGCTGTGTCCGGTAACGGGGTGCAGCTCGAGCGCCACCTGCAGAACATACTTGCGCCATCATGGTGAGCCTCGACTGTCCACCGCGATCTCTCTACGAGTCCAGACGAGTCATCTCAGAACTCGTCGAGCAACTCGGCATTCATTCACCACTTCGAAACGGGTCGCGCTAGACTGTCCGTCGGATATAGGACTTCATATACTCGCCGGCTGGAACCGTCCGTGGGGTCAGAGAACACTTCATAATACAAAGGTGCGTTCCCTTGGCCATCTTCCCTTTCTCTCCTACCCACAATTACATCGCAGGTCATCATGAGCGCACAGCAAGATCGAGTCGTCAACTTTGGTGCAGGCCCTTCTGCCCTGCCCGTATCCGTCCTCGAGGAGGCGTCGAAGGGGCTGCTCAACTTCCAAGGCACTGGCATCGGGATCGCCGAGCTCTCGCACCGCTCGAAGGAGTTCCAGGCATTCGTGACGAACATGGAGACCCTCATCCGCACGCAGCTCGACGTGCCCTCGACGCACCGCATCCTCTTCACGCAGGGCGGCGGCTCGATGCAGTTCTCCGCCGTCGTCCTCAACATGCTCTCGCGCTACCGCCTGCTGCACCCCGAGCGCACGCCCGAGGAGATCGCCCTCGACTATGTCGTCACCGGCTCGTGGAGCAAGAAGGCAGCGGAGGAAGCGAGGCGCCTCGGCGGCGCGAGCGTGCACGTCGTCGTCGACTCGCGCGAGTTCTCGGAGAGCAGCAAGGCGTTCGACAGCATCCCGCCGCACGGCGCGTTCAAGTTCTCGGAAGACCCTGCTTTGATATACTACTGTGAGAATGAAACTGTGGATGGCGTGGAGTTCTCGCACGAGGATGTGTCGCCAGCGTCGTTCCCGTTCCACCTCCTGCCCAACCAGTGCGGGCTGGTCCCACTCGTCGCGGACTACTCTTCGTCCTTCATGTGCCGACCCATTCCGCACCTCGCTGACCACGCTATCATCTACGCTGGCGCGCAGAAGAACATTGGTCCCGCTGGCCTCACGATCCTCATCGTTCGACAGGATTGCATCGTAGACGTTGATGCAGCCGCGAAGCTTGGTGCTACACCTGTCCCCATCATGATGTCGTACAAGTGCCTCGCGGACTCGAACAGCCTCTACAACACGCCCGCTGTGCTACCAATGTACGTGTCGGGCCTTGTGCTGGAGCGGATGCAACGACATGGAGGCTTGAAGCACTACGAGGAAACGAATAAGCAGAAATCAGAGCAAGTGTACGCAATGCTCCGCGAAGGCCAGGAGAAGGGTATCTTCAAGCGCAAGGTGAAGGAGGGATCGGGCAGTTGGATGAACGTTGTGTTCGAAGTTGTTGGTTCAGATGCCGAGAAGGAATTCTTGGAAGGCGCCGAAAAGGTGGGACTCAAGGGATTGAAGGGTCACAGGTACGGAGAATATAATCTACATTTTCGGTGTCTGTGCTGATTCGGGGTGACGCAGATCCGTTGGAGGTTCGTCGAGGGAACTTGGGAAGTTGTGAATGCGCTGACGTCTACATGTAGGGATCCGCGTGTCACTATACAACGCTGTCACCGAACAGGACGTCGGGCGATTTGTGGACTACGCGAAACAATTTATCGCGTCCCACCGTGCATAGATGATGCACACTCACTGCCGTTCAACCGTCGATAATGTATCGTGAGTGTCCCGGGCCAATGATCCGTTTTGACACGCTCACCCTCATGCTCGCTTCTAGCTTAGACACCTGTATGACTATGCACATATTGCTTTCATCAAGCGACGATCGATTTGCATCGAGTTGTGACTGTGGATCACCTGTTGCACGTCTCGAGTTGGCGTCCAACTCAGACAGTCGTCGTGGCTGCCTATACGAGGCACTGTGATTGGTACGAAAGCCGTCCGAGGACGAAACGGATGAACCCAGGGAATTCCGCTCACGGAGTCGATATGCGACTATGAGCTAACACGGTACTTCCGTAGAGTATTCCGCCGAACCTCCGGGAGCCGAGAGCACAGGCTAGTCAACATCGGCAGAATGTCTGTTTCCGGGGTGTGATATTGGGGTGATCTGAGTAAGTCCACCCAGATTGAGGGACGGTGTCACGGACACGAGACAGGAACTACGGCGAGGCTTAGAAGCGATGCAACATATTGGGACTGTATTGCAACAGCCTACGTACCGTGCCTGAGGTATGGAACGGGGGACACACTCATGCGAACGCGGACGGGCGTTGATAGCGTCGGCTCGACGGAAACAAATACCAACCGTTGCCATACAACGGTTCTGCATCTACAGAGCACTCCATTCCCCCAGTAGACGGCGACTACCTGAGTGCCTCAAGCATGGCCGGAGCCAACAGTACAGTCGCACCGTTGCATCATCATCGTGTATGCATCGTGCGTTGCATGGTAGTCATTCCAACAATGAGTACATTGACAAGTATATCTGGATCGTGTGCCCCATGGCTTAGTTGGCTATAGCGTCCGACTGTTATGTTGCGTACTTTGCTTACGTGATCGGAAGGTCGGGAGTTCGAGACTCCCTGGGGCAGTCTCTTTTCTCTTTTTCACAGTGCTACTTTTCTTGATTCCTACAGCTGACGATGGAGTGTATATGGCACTTGCGGCGGGTTATTCATTCCGATGAGTACCGTTGTATGAGTACATTCTACCATTGAGAGCTCAACTCGAGTTGACAAAATGAATGTATCATCGTGAACGGCCATTCAGTCAGGTATACATGGGGATGAACCGCTTTTGTGAGCCCGCCCGAATGGTGTCCAAAGCCGATCATTACTATCATCATACCCATAGCAAGCTACTACAGAGATGGAGCAAAAATTCGTCACCTGAGCGATTCGAACACTCGCGGGCAAAGCCCAACCGCTGTCAGCTACGAATAGCAGGCGATCCCGTTAACCACTCCGGCAAAGTGACTTGCACGACGTCATTGTGGCGTTATACATATATGGCTACGAGCATGACAAGTACTTGAGGCACCTGGCACACCGAGCACATACTTCTCAAGAGAGTCACAGGGATCCATAAGCTTACGCATATCTACCCTACGAGCGGAGGGAGACTAACAGCGTCGGCGTGACACTAGTACTCATGAACACCGCGCGACCAGATGTCCACACGAGTCCTGTTATGCATACATATCGTCCCAGCCTTCGTCGTTTGTTGCTGACGGCGCCGTCGGATCTTTAAGGCCCTCTTCAGGCTGGGAGCCAGCAGCTACCTGAGGCCCAGAGATCAGTGGACTCGGAGCGACGCCCTTCTCTGAGTCTGCAGCTTCCATCTCTCTGATGACGTCCCACATATCCTCGTCTTCGTCTGGGGCGGGACCCGACATCTGCGTAGTCGCAGGGCCGGCATCGTGTGGAACGTTGTTGTCGAACGCGTCCCACATCGCATCGTCCTCGTCCTGGGCCACTGTTGACTGGCTCCGAGAGGCACCGATGTCGAATCCTGAGGCGCGACTCTCTGCGGCTTGTCGCTCTTCCTCCTCGCGTATCATCGCGTCAAGGTCGAAGTCGTCAAGCCCGTCGGAAGAAGGCGGCGCAGATGAAGGGGGATGAGATGGTAGGTGTGAAGACGGACCCCCGATTCCTGTCGCGTCGAGGACGTCATCCTCGCCGTCTTTGGTAGCCGCGGTCGCTGGTTTGCCATCGTCGGCCTCTTCGTCATCACTACTGTCATCCGAAACGAGGTCGATGTTCTGTCCTCTGTTGATGCCTTTGTATTCATCGCGCCAGACAGTAAGTGCAACCTGTCATCAGCTTCATTAGTGTGCACGCCTGTGGCCGACGACTCAGGGTACGCACATGCATCCGTTTCGAATGACAAAGCTTCTCCACTCGTTTGACGGTTTCTCTGAAAGGTGTCTTAGGGAACATCTTGTGCGTCCAATACCCGTACACTTGGAGCAGTCGGTTCAGATCTGTTGCCTGACGACCATGCATGAAAAATCGCATAGATAAACTGAGAGGGAGGAGGCGCACCTCATGGCCCTTTCCCTTGGGCTTGAACGTCTTCGCTTGCTTGAGCAGAGCGGGGAGACCATCCTGCCCAAGTAGCCTCGCTTCGTCGAGCCTTGGCAGAGGCTTCCTCTTCTGTTTCTCCTTCCCACTGCCTTTGCCTTTCGCATCTCCTCCTGCATCATCGTTAGCGTCAGGCCCGTCAAGATCCAGCGCAGACGGCTTCTTATATATCTGCGCGTTCTTCGCGTCCTCCTGCCGCCTCAGTGAGTCGAGGTCAAGCGCAGGAGGGAGGTCGCCGTCGAACGCATCTGGCTCCGCGTCCAAGCCGTCAAACATGGCATCAATCTCTGACCTCTGCGCCGGAGGAGGGGCCGACTTGCGCGCGGACTGCCCATGTCTCTCGTCTTCAGAGTCAGAGTCGAGGAAGAGCGTCGAGCGCGGCCGCTTGGATCCACGACGCGGAGAGTCATCGGCGGTGAGGTCAATAGGGGAGGATGCACGGCGGGGGACCTCCTCAGCAGGAGCGTCCCAGATGTCTTCGAGCGCGAGCGATGTCATGGCTGTGGTGGTTCAGCGTGAGGTTGCAGGTGCGACTCGGACGCGTGGGGTAACGCGTCCGAGACGCGTCGGTCACGCCTGATAGTCACAGATCCTCCCAAGATTTCTCGACTTGGCCCGGTGGCGCTCGATTGCTTTCTCTCTGCAACTCACAGTTTCAGTATAGACATCACACAACGACGAAGTGGATATATCCTCAAAACATGTCCGAAGACTCTGCGCCCGAGCCAGACGTGCAGGCTGGCATAAACTACTGGGCGAGTCAGCCGGCCAACTACGACGGCGTCCTGGGTGAGTAGGCTCGATCGCATCTCACCTCTCCGGCTGCGATGTGACATTGGTATGTAGGCGGATTTGGGACTGGCGTAGGTCGTTCGTTCTACCCCCCGGAAAAATCCCATGCTGATGTTACCTTCGTCAGTCGCTGCCTCGAGTCGATGCTCTCTCGTCTCGCCAGTTCGTGCTATACCTCATGCCTGAGCTCAGCACGGTCCCATCAGCCATCCGACCACTCGATGTACCAACGCTTCCCCATAGGACTCGCGCTCTGGATGTCGGCGCAGGCGTGGGGCGCGTCACGGCGGACGTACTACTACACCTCGTCTCGGACGTGACACTCGTCGAGCCCGTCGAGGGCCTCGTCAAGGAGGCCCTCTCTCGAGGACGCACGAGCGAGAGCACGGCCATCAAGGCCGACACAGCATTTGTGCCGTGGAAAGGCATTGCATCGAGGGAAAAAAGCGTTTCTTTCATCCAAGATACCCTGCAAGGCATCGACCCCTGTTCGCCGTCCAGATCCCCGTCGTTCCTAGATCGCGTCGGATACGTCCCGCCGAACAATGATCTCGACGAGCCTTTTGACATCATCTGGTGCCAGTGGTGTCTGGGATCTCTCAGCGACGCGGACCTGGTGACGTTCCTGCGGAGAAGCCAGCGCAGCCTCCGGGACCCCACACGCAGTCTGATCATCGTCAAAGAGAATTGCTGTTACGACGACGACGGGCAGCCGACAAGCGTGTTCGATGACACCGACTCGAGCATAACAAGGTACGCCTACCTCTGCATCAAAACACCTATTAGCTCACGGTAGGACGGCAAGATCGGACCTGGCATGGAAGAAGGTATTCACAGAAGCAGGCCTCACACTTGTGCACCAACAGTTGCAGCGCGGGTTTCCTGAAGGCCTCTATGCTGTATACATGTAGGACGCACTCTCCCTTCCTGCTTCTTCTCCCTTCTCACTGATTGTTTGTCTCGACAGATATGCCTTGAGGTAACGCGGGGAGTCACTCGCCGTGAAAGGGTAGACATGTAGATCTAGGTCACCAGGTAACGAAAGTCATGCTAGCAATACAACGATCGTAGCAGCAGGTTAGAGTAACGAGTCGTCAACGGGTCGGTAGAGTAAGGTCATCGAAAAACCAATGAGCACGTAAGGAATAGCCATAGCAAGTGCCAATAGAGAAAGCGAACGAACAGATACAAACTTGAAAAACAGGCAACGCATCAGTGCTTCAGCTTCATCTTTTCTGTTGGGGGCTCCATGTTTTCCTTCCTAGCCATGACGGCCTCGCTCAAGCTTGTTCGTCGCTTTTGTTCCCGGCTCTCCGTGCGCTCCTTCACGTGGGGAAAATTTGCGCGGATGACGCCCTCGAGCTGGGGCCAGATCTCGTCCGACGTTGAACCGGACAGGGTCACCATTTTCACCCTGTAGAGGGGCGATTGCGAGCGGTAGTATTCAAGGAGAGGCGAAGTTGATTCGTAGAACCTCTCCAGTCGACGAGCGAACACCGACTATATGCGAGATAAGCCTCGTGCGATATACGACGAATAGAAAGACTACGCACAGGATTATCGTCGGCTCGCTTCGTGAGAGGCTCACCAGTCACATCATCGAGACCTGGTACCTTGGGCGGGTTGTATGACAAGTTGTAAACGCGACCGGATGGCAGATGGACCCAACGGTCGGATATCCGGCTCAGGATAACCTCGTCTGCGACATCAAGGTTGACAATCAGGCTAAGAGGTGTCCCTTGCCGTCTGTGTGTGATGCAAAGCTGAGTGTGCGGAACTGAAATGACGCAGCCGCACTGGATCGAACCTTAGATGGTCGTCAAGCAGTTTCCCCTGTCCGACCGTACGTGGAAAGCCGTCAAGCAGCCAGTGCTGTGATGGACACCGTATGACAATTAGCGTGGCCAGATATGATGCAGGGTCAGACAGCAGACATACCTTGTTATGGAGCAGATCCAGCTGGCTTGAAACGACCTTGAGCATGATATCATCTGGTAGCAGTCCACCGGAGGCGACGATCTCTTCCGCCATCAACCCGACGTCGGTTCTTCAGTGGGACCATTCAGAAGGTACATTTGTGATTGTCGCCAAACTGCTTACCGTCCAGCGATTTGCTGTCGAAGGAGGTCTCCGGTCGACAAAGATAGGACGTCATACTTCTTCGTCAGTCGTGCGGAGAGGGTCCCCTTGCCTGCGCCGGGCTTGCCGAACATGAGCATGCGGAGCACCTTGCGCTCGCCATGGTCGGCCTCCGGCTTCTGCACGCTCGCCGCGACGTTATTGAGAGAGAAGGCAAGGGCCTTGGACGCAGCAGCGGATGATCGGAAGGCCCGCGGGTGTGCGCACACATTCTTCGGCCGAAGGGAGGCGCTGAGAAGGCCCGACAGAGACATGCGGCTGCGATTGGACGAGGCGGAGCGTATAAAGGTGCCTCGGGGTCGTAGATGGTCGGTTTTCCTGTCCAAGTGCTGCGACGGACCCGAGCGCGTCGACCTGGGTTATGTGCGCGGCGGGTGCAGGCCCAGAGTCGTTCGAGAATCGATTGCGCGAGTGCGGGAATATCACCGGCGTCAACGTGCGCGCTGCTGCAACTGTGTGCGAGTCTCTCCTCACCTCGTCTGCCTGGAGCTGTCTGTGCCGGGCGCTGGAAAAAGGGGAGGAGCACGGAGAGCGGTGAGATCTGCAGGGCGACGTGTAGCTGCGGCTTCCCCAACGAC